CATTAGATGCATCAATATACAGATGATTACATATAAGAAATTTTTTCTTTTGCGAGCTTTCGCTCTCTCCGAGAGCATCAGCAGGCAAATTCTTATTTAAAGTTCATTATTATTTACTACCCCTATAATCTCTCATGTATATTTATTTATCTAACACACAATCAATAATTCGTCATCATCTGTTTGATTGATTTTTTCTTATAAAAGTAACATTTTTACCGTTATTAAATATGATCATTTTGATTCATTTAAAAATGTTATGATGAATAGCTTTGACAGGGTTGTTAGAAGGCGTAATGATCCAGAGGAGGTTTTGTACTTTTGCCGGAAATGCAAAAGCGAATCAAAATATTAAGTCCATAGAATTATACATCGCTGGATAGAGCTCATGACGCTGGTCACGAACAGCTCCTTTTTAATGTTTTTAAAGCAGATTTAGGAGAAATCTCTAAAATACAGCTTAATACGAAAAATGAACCGATCAGGAGAAATTTTAAAGTTTCCACATGTTCCTCTCATCAGAAAATTTTAAAACAAGTTTATGCGGATTCAGCATCAAAAAACTGAACAGAACAGAGCAGATTTGATCAAATGTTATTGCAATTCTTTCATCTGGTAAGTTCGACGAGGACCACTAAGATCAACGCTGACACTCGGATCTTGCAAATCAATCTCCGTTTTCGTTTCAAAAGTTAAAATTCTCTGTCATACAACATTCGAATCGCCAATTGACGAGCAACAAACTAATGTATTGCTTTTTTTTAACATTTTATGCAAATAGTAATAGAACTCGATGGGTTTTCTAAGAGATCTCCAGATATCCTTATATACAAAAACTAGGTTTTTTTCGGTAATCTTTGCAAACCCGCAGTTCTCTCTCATCGAAACTAACTAGATGCCAGGCAAACCTGTATAATGCTCGTCTGTACATACCACTTTTCGGTTTCAAATATGTTGCCTGATAAGCACCCTTTTTATCGACGATGAATGAATCATTTTTAGGATTTGATATAAAACTTGGACTAACTGACAGAGTCGGACTTGATGGATCCTAAACATTTTTCTCACTTGACAGTCTACATAAGATTTTTCCCATTCAACTCACTTACCACTTCTGATTTCAATGGTGAACCAATTCTCAATCGGGTATCGTAAGAGCTGAATTGTGAAAATGTTGTAAACGGGTTATTATAAGGAACATAGAAAAGCTCATCGACAAATACTCTAGTTTCAGTTGAAGAATTTGATAATACAAATGAGACAAGGCTATCATTAGTCATTGGATTAAAATGAATTCCAGAATTCTAAAGAAATTATGTTAGTTGTACAGTTATCTATTCTATTGTAGTACAAATGAGCTTACAGTAAAATCCTCGTATATCATCCTCCGGATTAGGGGTGTTAATTTAGTGTTACTTTGAAAAATAAATATAAATGATTCATTTAGTTTTATCCATCATTATAAATGAAAAATAAAACTAAATTAACACCCCTAGTCCGGATATTACTGTTGAACACTGAAGTAGTTGTATTAGGAGGACTACCAAGGGTAGACCACTCCATTAAACTAGAGTCAAATTCTAAATCTTCGCTAGGCCGAGGTGGTTCCTGTAATTAGAAGTAATACAAGCTATAAATATATGAAATATAACTGTTCGTAGCTTTTAAAATCTATCACCAAATACTAAGTACGGAACTTGACGACCGAGCATTGTATATTTTGATTCCAGTAAGAGGCGTGATAAATTTTCTAATTAGATAGTCAGTTTTGTTTATTTGGATCAAGAGGAATGCAACATAATCAACTGTAGTCTAAGCGGGCTACCCAGGCTGTGTGGAGAGCTCGAACTGATCTTAACTTGACGAAACACATGTGGCTAGAGATTAATAGAACCAGATTTTTGATATTTAACTTCTCAAATTAATGGTTAGTGTCAAAAGTCCAAAATTCGAAAAAATCTCATTAACTTGCATAAAGATATGTGATGCCATATAATACGTACCTTCTGCATTATTACATTTGAGGGGTGAACTACTGAAAAACAAAAGATAACATGATTATTCAATCTTAACTTTTAGCTCACAGCATCACGAGTGTCAGCTTATTGCATCATCATATCTGAGAGGATTCTAACCGTTTTATTGTATCGTCACTAAAGGCGTTGTTCACTCATGCTTAAACTAAAACTATTAATAGCTTCGCTGAAAATTACAGAGTAGGTGAATATTTTTTTATTTCACAAACGTATTTCACTGTAAGATGAATTCTATCAAATTTTGAGAACTTTCAACCAGAGACAGATATCAAACTGCGATTTTTCTCATTCCTGGCAGCATCACGTACTTTCATCAGCAAAATGATGTTGAAATTCTTTTCTCAATGTGGGTTCTTGATATTTTCCGAAAGTGAGCTTTGTGTCCTAGGCAAATGGCAATAGGTTTTGATTGTTAATCTATTGCCATTCACCTAGTACACAAAGCTCGGCTCATATGCGTGATTGGAAAACCGCAAAACCGAGGCTCTATTTTAAATCCATGATTAATTACAGATTGGTGATGTTTTCAAATAAAAAGCCATAACTCCCTCATACCTAGCTAAAAGCTTTAGGACATATGGCATTTATGGTATTTTATGTCGTATTTGATAAAAAAAGGAGCATAACCATTTTAGAAAACCGCATGGTTTTCTTCGAAACGATTTGCAGGTGAGATTTCAGCGCAACAAAAGTTTTTCAAGTTTTTGATCCCATAATGACGTTTTACGGAGAAAATGAAGTATATTCAAGACATCCGACAGCAGTTCCAGAATACAACAGAAACTCGACACTACACTCAAACCTCTGACGTGAGAATCAAGGTATCGCCTGACCTCTTTTCAGTGAGAGCATATTGGACTATCTATTCATGTGAAACTAATACTGTACTTTCAGTTTAATCTACGAAAGAGTAGACTGGTTTTCCAAAGATTCTCTCGGAAGAAAAAGCGTTAGATTCGTGTGATTCATACATCAAAACTTATTCATACTAAAACTATTGTCCACCCAAAATACAAAGCCGGTAGTTGTTTATTGAATAACCCAAAGAGGGTAAAAGATACAGATCTGCAATTTTCAGCAATCGAAAGAGAACAGTTTAGCCTATATTTTCATAGGCAGGATCGTTTTCGAAAAAGTTTCACAAGGCCAGTTTTCGCTGAGATCTGTGGAAAATCAGTGCAGATCTTCCGAAACTGTGATAGCGATCTATCAGTTTTCTTGCATAAATAGATATTATAAAGTGTCCTCTCCAAAATGGATACGAGTTCATTTATAACATTATCGTTTTCCTCCCATTTCTGTTGGCTATACTCATTTGTTATTTCTCCTCATTTCGTACGTCAACAAGAAACTCGCGTCACCTGTCCCTGTCGTCAATAAACCAACGTTTCACGTGACATCGTACTTAATGAGAGTCCTAGAACCAATATTTCTTTAGATGCGGTAATTCTAAAAACTAATGGAAACATAGATAATCGACTACACTGAGTCTCGTGACAACCTTTGTTTTTAAAAAAGTATCCAAAACCTAGTGAAAACTTATTTGAGCTGAAACAACCCATTTCTGCCTATTTTACGTAACATTAAAAAGCTCATAACCCAGTCAAGCTACATCAAATTATGTCAGAATATCAAGATGTATTTTATCTGCTCAATGCTGTTCTGTTCAGCGAAAGCTTTTTAAAGGAATCAACGCGAATACTTCGGTTTTCTGAAAGATTTTCTAGAAATCGTCTGAACTATAAGCCTGTTTTTTACTATTCTCAAGCAAAAAGTCGTATTGAGCAGATAAAATACATCTTGATATTCTGACATAATTTGGATGCAGTTTGACTGGGTTATGAGCTCTTTAATGTTACGTAAAAATAGGCAAAAATTCACCTCATATAAGTTTTCCCTAAATTTAAACTTGGATACTTTTTAAAAACAAAGGTTGTCACAAGACTCAGTGTAGTCGATTATCTATGTTTCCATTCATTTTCAGAATTACGCACCTAAAGAAATATTGGTTCTAGGACTCTCATTAAGTACGATGTCACGCCAGTACCAGGATAAATTAAGAGTTCGCTTACTACCCATTTTGGAGAAGACACTTTAGAATATCTATTTATGAAAGAAAACTGACAGATTACGATCTTATTTTCCGAAGTTCCGCGCTGGTTTTCCAGAGATCTCGCCGAAAATTAGTCTTCTGAAACCTTTTCGAAACAATGTTGTCTACGAAAATATAGGCTAAACTGTTCTCTTTTCTGAAAATTGCAGGTCTCCATTTTTCATTCTCTTTGAGTTATTCGATAAACAACCACGCGCCTTTTATTTTAGGTGGATAATAAATTTAGCTTCGTTTAAAATTACAGAGTAGACGAATAATTCAATATTTTTTAATTTCATAGTAAGATGAATTCTATCAAATTTTGAATAACTTCAACCAGAGACAGGTATCGAACTGTAATTTTTCCGATTTAATAGTCTGATTGATATATTTAAACTTATATTTACTCTGTGTAAACTTTGGTTTGAGCTATTATTGGTGTATAGTTTTTCTCTATTATTCGTGTGTATATTATTTGTGCGTATTATGTTATCTGTGTGAACTCAATAATCTATCAGTACTTACTGTGAATCGCCTCAGGCGCAATTCCTAAAAAGAAATAGGTATAAGTAAAACCGAAATTTCTAGTCCGATGCACATGGCGAGCTATTCGTACTCTTTGCTTCTGTCAGCCAAATTCCAGATTGTCTTCGTTTTAGTATTTTAGCTCTACTTTGCGTAGCCTCATTGCTTTGCTCGGTAACCGAACTATTACATTGTAGTTGTTGACTGAACGATGTTATTGGTTGAACTATTAAATAAAGATTGACTACTATTCTTTACGTTATTTTTTTCTGTTACATACTATTCAAAGGACTGATAGTATGAATACTACATCTGTATGTAACAATGTCTTCAATCAAAGCTGGTACACTCGGATTATAATCTTTTGTAGTACTATGTCTCATTCTTAGATATACTCGTTTCCCATCGTGTTCTGGTAAGATAGGAATTACAAATTTGAGCAAATGCTAAAGAACATATCATATTTTCATAATTTAGTTTAGTGAAATAATTGAAACACTTTCTTTCTTACATAACAATGCTGATCTCTTTCTGCCGTTATAGATTGTTGTCTATCAATATTGTCAAATAATGATATTATGTCAGATGATAGTTTTATATTACTATATTTCTGTACGGGTGTATTAGAAATCGGTAACTGGTCGAATGCAAAATCAACCACATATTGTCCATCTGTTGTGCCCCATCTACAAAAAAAACACAGACTTCATATTTCTTCAATTTCAATGTGATATAAAAGAATACAGTACCGGTTCGGTCTTTCAAGTTTGTTTTTCGTATAAAGAAAAGCATGCTTGCTAGCATTTAAAATTTTTTCATCCTGTACGAGTTTTAGAATATGGAATGGTTCAAAAATTTCTAAATAAGAAAAATAATTCAAAAGCTTATCTCACATCTGTAGATATGGTTTCCAGATCAAGTCAAGTTTCAAAGAAAATGCGTTTCTCCTAGAAAATGCGCATAATACGTACTGCTATTTCTTAATGGTGGAAATAAACATTCGCACAATAATACATCGTTATGGTAGGCCGCAGCGTATAAACGGATATGAACCTGACTAAACATGCCATGGTTTCCACTAAGTGGTGCTTCTCGTTCTTTTTCTAAACAAATTATATCCCATAGAGAGAGCGTAAACAGCAGCCAACAAACATACTACACTCTTTTAGACGTCTTTGGATTGCTTTATGTGACGGCATATCTGTTGGATCATCAAAAGGCAGAAACTGATTGATTAGCGGATTATTCCGCCTTTGTTTCATCAAAAGAGGAATGCTATTTTCTGGTATCATCGAAATGGCTAATTCATGTCTGTAACAGGCAATAAATGCAGTTGCATATACAATCGTCGACAAAAATCTGCTTATACCTTTCATTTGGTGATCGATAATTGCCAATTATTGATGGAGTTACACAAGTTTTTACAATACTGGTTTCATTAATACTGCCGTTTTCATTTCTATCGCTTAATCGTGGACTTAAATGAGAAACAGGATAAAGTCTAATGTGCTTGCCTGATCGTAAATTCTATTATATGAGATTTTTTTAGTGCAGAATTCAAAAATTCAACCAATATCTTGATAAGTTTGATACCTGGGCAGTGTGAGAGTGAGTTCGAAAAGTAGTTTCAGACAAAACATATTTTCATGATACGACACTGTACATCTGTAACCGTGATTATTCATCACATAACTTAACGCAGGTTTCAAAATATGAAGCATACAACCACGGCAGTGAGAGAGAAATCGTTAAACCGAAATTATGCTCGTCCAATGGGAATTTTGCTTTGGTACTAGCATAAGTTTGCTCTGAGTGGGGAAAAGTCGCGATATGTCAATTTTGCCATTTACGGCATTTCACACGAGAATTATACTGCTTTATGTGGCAATTATGCTCAGTCAAGAACATATGACGGTATGAAAGCAATGTCTTTGTCTATCTCACAGGAATAATATATTTAGGGAGAATTATGCTGTTCTGCACGAGAATTATGCACAGTCTAGAAGATATTATGATGTTTTCACGAGAATTTTGTATTTCTCCCATACATCTTCGTATCAGCTCTCTATAATACACGAGAATAATGCGTTTGCACAAGAGTTATGCTCTCGTCTGTGAGAATTATTCACAAGCTGGAAGGTATTATCCTTCCAGCACGACAACAGATATCTCTTCATATCTACTTTCAAAAGATACAAAAATCTAGTGAAGCGAGCGTAATATCTTCGAGATTATATGCAGCATTCTCACACTAAACAGCATAATTCTCGTGTGAATGCATTATTCCTTTGAGCTGGGTAACAGAGTTTTTAAGAAGCAACATAAAGTTCTCCTAAAGAGACCATAGTAATTCTGTTGCCCAGGTCACGAGAATAATGAACTTACAGGAAAATTATGCTGTTTCGAGTGAGAATTATGTCTATAAACCAGAGAGCTAATTCTGGGGTAAATCCATTATTCGCTTGATTTAGAGAGAAATATTTTGATGAAATACAAAATTCTCGTGGAATACGCGTTTTTCTCGCTGGAGTAGACTAATAGCGGTTTGTTGATTTCTCTCCCAGCCCGCATACAACCAGGTTCATTTATTCTTTTCTTGCAATAAACAACTCTGGACATCGATTCTTATAGATTCTTGTAGGAATCTCATTCGTTTCTTAGTACCAAAAGTTCTTATGAAGTTTTCCAGCCAATAGAGCTAGCTTAATCATAAGAGAAATCAGCAAAACCAACTCATAAACTGCCTTCTAGTAATTAGAAATAACAGGAATTTCTGGTACTTCTTATAAATTCCTTACTAACCTCTTATGAAGACCTGATAAGATTCTTATAAGACACTTACGACTGTCCACGGAAAATCTTAAACAATCTTATGTAATAAACTGGTAGGACTCTGATAAGAAGCTTATCACTTTTACTAAAAAGATGTTGTCTAGAATAGTTTTCGTGGTAATACCATTCGCGAAAATGTCGGTTCAACGTGGTTCTGTCATCCTAAGGCAGCATTCTCTATAGTTGAAATACGCGTAAACCAGGGCGCCGATCGGGAAATCGGCGGCGGCGTGAAACAGAAGTTTTCCGATCAGTACCTTAAAAGATTTTCCGACGGCACTGACTAAAAGATTTTTTTGAAATGTTTTCATCGTCAGCGACGGGGCTAATTCAATGGAACTTGCACACAGGTCTAAATATGCCATTTTCGTAAAACATTTAAACGAAAAATAGTCCTAGCGTTTTACGCCATTTGATACCGAAGGCTAGGCAGTACTACTTTTATGAAATAGAAAATAATTTGTTTTCTGAAAATCGTTTTTTCAGGAGCTCTCTGGAAAACCAGACTGTATCTTTAAAAGTTCAAGTGGTAGCATATTATTTTTTTTATTCTCTTCGAATGCTTGTTGAACGTAATGAAAGTAACGCGCATCTCACTGCAGCATGATCTATCTACAAAGCTATCCAATGCGAATCAGGTTTAAATGTTTCATTGAGAAAATTCAACTTAAAATTGTAATTTTTTTCTTCTGAAATAGCTTTTGGGCAAATATTAGTTAGATCTATCGCACATTTCGCTCAAACATTTCTCTTAAAAGCGTGTGAAACAACTTCATCGTGGCGTCGATAATTGAAGAGTGCATGGGTCATTCAAAATCCATTCCAACCATTTGTAAATTTCAATATATAGTTTACTCTGTCCAATACACATAATGCGGTTTCTTACCTGAATCAACATTAGGCCTAGACCTACCTTATATAAATCGAAAGCGCTTTTGAAGGCGACTGAGATTGCAATGTTTAATATGAGTCTTTCTCCTCAAAGCGAGATTAATACTGAACACTCTGAAGTGCGGTCAGAACATCTGGGAAAAAATGTATTTTCAAAAATCATATTATTTTTCTCCTTCATGAAGATGCTGCTAAGCCTAGCTTTTAAATGGTGTAAACCATCGAATAAACATGTTTAATATCATGTGGAAGTAATAAAAGTCATTCAAGTCAGTATATTTTAAAGTTAAAAAACAAAATATGCTAACTTTCGGTGAAACAATGATAATGGTGAGAAAAGTTGATTGAACTAGGAATATATTGGCAATCCTAGGAAAATTCTATTCAAGATTTACTAGAATTCAAAATAATTCCTACTAATTCATCATTCAAGCCATCGCATATCCTTGTTAAGGTCCCATTCAAAAGTAAGCTAATTCCTAAAAGGATCCTAGTAGGATTTCTTCTAGGTTTTATTAAAAAATGTATTGGTTTCTTACTAGGATCATGAAATGATTTAGAAACAAGCATATGTCAGAATCCCACTGAAGAGTGTCTGAAGTTCTAAGATAGAACGGATTAGAAGCTAGCAGTTTCTAGTAGAGTCGTTCTATAAAACTTTGACTGCTAAATTTGTTCTTCATACCCTAGCGGAGCACGTCTTTTATTCTGATTGAAAAAGTTTTCAAATAAATTAGAAATAAAAATATTAAATTTTACATTTACTTAAAACTTATATAAATTCCATTTATTTCAAAATTTTCCGTTGAGATGAAACGAGTGTCGCATTTAGGATATGAAGGGCGGAAAATTTTCTTAAAAATGCATCAGTTTTTTGGAAATATTTGCCTAAGTTTGGAAATGAACAAACGGAATCAAGTAATCTATAGCTTTCATTTAAATTAAAAATTTTGACTATCCCGCCCATATAACAAATTAAAAAGCAAGATACAGAGTTTTGTAGCGCTTTTAAGTAGTTCATTCAAATGATATATCTATTATTCATTATGCAAACGACCAACCTACTGTGAACTGATGTCGATTTTGAACATTACAAAACACCTATTACATATTTTTTTTGCTTCTTTGGCATACAGAATTACTATAAAAAGTTGTGTATTTAAATATACGCGAACCAAGTTTCTCCCATTATTGATAAGTGACTTATGGAAGGTCAAAAGTTAGGCGCTTTAACAAAAGTTTAAACAACAATTCGAAATTAATACCATCCTGATTTCTTCAAGATACTTAGCATTCAATGTACTCTACAAATTTGGGGGTATAGGCTGGATGAGATTCCGACATGTTCTTGTTTCTAAATCATTTCATAAAAATACATTCCTAAGAGGATCATCGAGCAATCCTGCTAAGGTCCGTTTAGAATTTAGCTTAATCATCGGGATGAGAACAAGTTTTAAAATTTACGTTTAGCACATTCATCTAGTCCAAATATTATCATATCATTTATTCTCAAACCTGAATGTTCGACCTTGTCCTTCAACGCTGGCAATTAAAATCCCTGTTTGATGGCTCAAATTAAAAATTCTTTCCTCGTGAGCTGGAGTGATTAAATCTCTTGGTAATTGTATATCTGGTATTACATGTTGAGAAATTAAGCTGGCTTGAGTCTTTTTTACCCATTGGATTGAATAAAAATCCATTTTCGCTGGAATTGTATTGCTTACGAAGCATAGAACAATCTTATACAACGAAAGATTATTTTCACCATGTCGCAACTAGAGAAGGAAAAAAAAAGCTATTAACTCAATTTCAAAGTATAGATAGAACTTTGATCATTTTTCTGTACTACCTTAATCTCACAAGGAAACGTACAATTTCTTAATTCCGTTGGATATCTAAATGTAAATATCTAAAGTGATGATAAAATAATTTCACGAAGATTTTTACACCTGAATCTTAAATATGTATTTTCAAAATTCCAACCGTCTAATATTAGTCGAGGAAGTAACTAAATATTTTATTGTACATAAGTGAAAAAATTACGAAGAATTGTAAAAACGTACAATAGGTTTCTCAGAATTGCACCATACATCATCGTCTTTCTTTCCGTTACAAAAACAAGACATTTGAAGATAAATATCATGAAAATCTAAAAACGTTTATATTCATAGTAGAATGAAAACTTACCCTGGATAGATCACTTACCAGGGAAATGTGGACTTAATCCAATATTTTGATCAATAGCCACATAATAGCGCTCTGTATCATCTCTATTAAAGTTTCGCAAACGTTTTATTATTATGAATAGTTGAACTGATAAGCTAAAACAAAAAATAGACGTTAAGTTAATGGATTGCACATTGTACAAACACTTACTTTTCACTCTTATCAATATTAAACCAAACTTCATTCTAATCATCTGTTGTGGTGTTGATGTCTGAACACAACGTAAATGGATGTTCAAAAAGTTTGTTGTCATGCTTATAAAATAATTTAAATCGAACAGAATAAGTAGAATCGACGTCAGTTCTTGTTACCTTGAAAAAGAATAAAATCATCATGAATTTCAAACATGACGATACAGCTCAAATATAATCTGCTTAATGCATAATCATGTGAGTGGACTTTTCCGCAAACACGCACTCTTATCAATCAATGATTTTAATTTGATTTTAATTGATAAAACAACGAGATTATCGGCTGTATATTTAAAAATGAACCATGTATGGCAAACCATTGAATGGTCCAATTCAGTGTGGGAAACTTCAGAGTACTCCTGCTCATATAAAATAGGAAAGCTTTCATAATGTCTCATGTTGAGAAGTTGAAACATTTAAAAATTTGAAAGCACTCAGTTAGGAGAAGAGTCGGTACTGGACAAGCTGTAGATCTTACGATAGCGGTCCGCAAGTGATTGATCTATCTTTTATAGCATTTTGAGTTACTTGTATGAAAAAATTTCATGCCTAAACATCAAGCGAAGCGTCCTAGGCGTTCCATGGCTTTTTGCTCGAAGCATACAATGTTAGGAACAGTCGATAGTCCTACTCTTGAATCTGAGGATTCTATCTGTCCGTATTTGGCTCTCTGATCAGAGTTTGCGCTGGAATTTTTCAAAACTTGAAAAATCACTTTTGAGCAAACTTGTTTTTGACACTATCAGATTGTACAGGATATCGAATTATCCATGTACACAACTTCTTTAGCTAATGATCAAGTTTTGATAACGTCATTGAGTTCTAATTGAATCGAGCACCTGGACGACGTTGAATGTTTTCATTAATATAACATAATTAAAACTTAATCATTAGCCAAAAGGATTATATACATAGATAATTCGAAAATATCCTCTACAATCTCGCAATTCCTCTACAAGATTCACTGTAGAGGCAAAAAGAAATGTATGGTTCCTGATCAGCGTTATTAATTATTTGTAGTCTCATGTCTTCTACTGAAAATGTAATACACCACTTTGGGGAATGTACTGGTTAAGGAACATAGTGCATATGAATTAAATAAAATAATATTAGAATCAAAAAACATGTTATATACTTGGAAGCTAAGTGTGTCTTTCCCTTCGTCGACTAATTGAAATACAGCATCTTTTAGTGCAGCACAGCCTGGTGTCAAATGATTAATCTTGGAGCCACAAATACTAAAAGAAAAATGGCATTAGCTCACATCTAGTATGAAATAAAGAAATACCATACCGTGCTGAAGTTGCCTGTGGAACGCTTACTGTCAGCGGCATATCATTCTACAAATATAATTAATTGATCATAAACGATAAACATAACATCAACGTTAATAACCAAAAGAGGAAATCATCACTTTAGCTTGTAGCTACATCAGCATAAAGTAGTATTCTCCTCCTTATCGTACATTTATGCTTCTATGTGTAATATATAGATCTTCTAATCAGATGACACTTTGCACTATGATTACACAATTAAGAATATAAAATAAGCACTAAACATTTTTATCTGATGAACGAGAAAAAAATTAATTCATATTTTACATTCATAATGCCTAAAGAAATTTCTTCCAGCCGATAGCAGAAGTGGTGTGAAGTTCAACAGTTCCGTGGAAATTCCAGAATTCAGACTGTCGCTATTCACACTCATGTCGCGCCCTCTCCCTTTTTACATTCTCCATAACTCGAATTTGGACTTTACCAAAATCTTCCAATTCGTAGAGAGTCTAAGTCTAAATGTGAACCGTTTAATAAGAAGCCTCTGCTGTTCAGTAGTGTCAAATCCCAGAATTCTGTGGAAATTTCTGGAATTGATAGCGCTGCGCAGATTCAATAGACTCTTGGATTCTGGTTAGGTTCTGGCAGAACTTGAATTCTGACTGTACCAGAGTTGGACCAGAATCTGTCACTTCGTAGAGAAAATGTAGAGGATATCGAACTTAATTCTCTCTACGAACTGACAGATTCTGGTCCAACTCTGGTACAGTCAGAATTCAAGTTCTGCCAGAACCTAACCAGAATCCAAGAGTCTATTGAATCTGCGCAGCGCTACCAATTCCAGAAATTTCCACAGAATTCTGGAACTTAACACTGCCGAACAGCAAAAGCTTCTTATTAAAATAACTATCTACAGTTTATTGAAAACCCATGCTCACTTGAGAAGGCGTTCTAGACGAATCGTGTGACATCGAAATTTTAACTATATCCTAGTTTTTGAAGTTCTGTACTACATTTTTTTGTATCACAACTGGATGTGTTCTTTTTAAAATGAGAAAAAAACCTCAAAAAGTTTATTGATTTATTTTAGTTGTGAAGAGAACCAAACATTTTCTTTTTAAGAAAAATAAAAAAATTATTTGTCGTTGTAATGACGAGTTATAATACCATGTCTTACAGGTAAGCAGTATAGTTTTGTTGAATATTTATAAACGAGAACGAACAGAAAAAACGTTGGACAAAGTTTTTTTCTTTCTTTCTTTTCGATGCTTAGGTTACGTACACAAAACTTTAGTACGAAAAAAGTTTCATCAAGTTGGAATTCCTAGCTGATTAATATAGTACAAAAGAATGAAAAAAAATTGAATCATAACAGGAGAAACGTCTTCAAAACTGTTCCACAGCTTAATTTCAAAGCATAACAGTTATATGTAAGATAATTCTTTTCTTACTTTTCGAGTTAACAGTGTTTAGAGTCTCCCCCAACATAATCATCTAAACATTGCATATTGAAGGAAAGATATATTTGTATATTTAGTTAATTTTAAGAGATAATATCCGAAAACTCGTACAATTGTGTAAAATCGACTTGCAATTTTATCGTCAAACTGTATTATCATGTAAATAACATCATGTTCTAGTGTAAATCTTGATGTAATCTTAACATTTTTTGTAGATATTTTTGGTTATCAGGATCTCTTTCTCTCACTCGATGGCCTAACCTATATTTGAGTAAAATAAAATGTTCTTTTTTCCTTTGTTGTTATAAACTTTTATTTGAGAGAAGGAAGTGTGAAAAACTTCAGTACAAATAATGAAAAGAAGGAGACGAACCTATTACATCTTTACATATTGACTGAGGACAAAAGACAGGACAAGAGTACATGATAAGAACGATACGCAACGACAAAAAAACCATTTTTTACCATTTTCATATTGGTTATGCTTTTCGTTTGATCTTTATTTAAATATTTTCCTTTATTTTAAAATAATTAAATTTTTCTATCTGATCAAAAACTGCTTTAATATTAACATCATTCCCAGTAGTGGTAGCATCAGGATTTTGCTCTGAGGTGGGCTTAGCTCACCCATTTTGGGAACACTGGAAAAAATATTAAGCTCATTTCGAATATATAGAAAATTTTCAGGGCGGGCTTAACGTCCTTTCGGATGAGCTCAGCCCACCCTAGCTCACCCGTGGCGCCGCCACTAATTGCTTGCTTTAATATTTGTTTCTATTTAAAAAATAATTAAATATTTAGTCTTAGGACTTGAAGGACTATTAAAGAATTCTTTTTTCGTAAGACTATTATAGCTTCGGCACAATACAGCAGCACAATTGCAGTAACAGTATCCCTAGAGAACGTACTTGATGCAAGTACTAATATGGAAGGTAATGATCTAGTAGAAACATATCGATTAGTCACAAGAGAAATGTTGGAAAATTTACAATTAAAAGATACACAAATGGGTTTGCAATGTTTTGTTGATAATTGATCACTTGCTAAGTAAGTTAGTTGGTAAGTACTTAGAAAAATTTGCAAGTGTGTTTAAAATTTCTCACTTGTCATGCGCTATCAGAAGTACTTCTCAATGATAAAAATACTTGCTTTTTTTGCTATGAAGTACCATGTGAAAGTCCTTGGCAAGTAAGGGTTTTTCTATCACTCTAAAGCAAAAAAAGCGTATGTAAGAACTAAAAGAGTTTTTCTACTTGACCGACAAACTAAAAAGTGGTTTTTAGAAAAAGTCGAAGGGTTTTCTAGCTGTGGTAAAAATCAGGAGGGTTTTTCCCTAAACGCATTTGGTTTAAGGAAACATCGTTTCTGTTTTTTCAAGTAGATAAGGGTTTTCCGGTTTGACCAAAAAATCAAAAGCATTTTCTAAAAAGAGTTAATGGAACACTATATTTCGAAATCCAACAAACAATTTATCTTAATGTCGGTGAACTCTATGAAGCGATTTTTATATAAGAAAAGAGTGAAAAAGAAAAACTTTTGATATGAGATCTCTCAAAATAAAGTGTTTCTTAAGGTAATTGACATATTGATTTCACCATGTTTTACTGGGTTTTCTCTTCGGAAGCATAAAGCCATAATCCTGCTTTAGAAAAGTTAAAAAGCAGATGCAGCTGTTCAGCGGGTGCATCAATTTCAGGTATAGAAAATTCATGGTAAAGTACGGTGCTCCAAATTCAAAATTATAGCAAGGCAGACTTCAAGTGAATTTTTAGATTTCGTCCTTTCATACCTCATTCGATGCAGTTTTTCACGCTGATTACGAATATGTGGTCGTGAGATATTTTAGACGTTGTCTTCGTGGTGAAAAGGCCAAAAACTAAGGAGGGCTCAAGGTTTTGAAAAAGCGCGAAATCTCGTAAAAGTGCTATAACTTTTTATTGGAAGGCCATAGAGACCTGCGGTTTTCATATTCAGATTGAGCGTCTGAAACAGCATTTAGACGTGTACCTTTCCGGTTTTTAAACCTAAGACTGGTTTTTATCAAAAATCTGAAACCTAAAGGTCGGGTTTTTCGCCCCAAATCAATCAAGTCTCCAGGGGAAGGTCCTAGAGCGAGAAACTTGACGTCATTCGATGCGCCTTGAAAAGCTCTACAAAGTTATACGTGCAGTTTTTTGAGAAAACTTTTCTCTCAAAAACAAAAATTCGTTTATTGATCAGACGGTTGGACCCACAAGGTCCCAGATAGCTAGTTTGACGAGTTTCGAT